CATTTCAGTGTCTTGTGGATCTGAATGCATATACATGCACATTGTTTATTAAGGGACTTAATACCAATTAAGTTACAAATTAGAACTGAAATAAATTTTCATCTAAAACAAAACTCACACTAAATTTCAACACTTGGCTCAGGAAATCTAAAGGAAACTGAAAAAAGTTCTGATAAAATTAGAACTCCTCCTAATTTTGGTATGGAGAGCATCTGCAGTTGACCTATGTTAGCAGGGAATTTTGCCCAAAGCAAAATTTCAAGCAGATTTGGAAGTATTTAGGAGAGCAAAATATGCATAGAATTTCAGAAAGTTATCAGTATTTTGATGACTTTTAGACACTAATGATGTGATTCTTATAATACATTTAACTATTGACTCTGCAAGATGGGCAGATAATTCTTACTTGCTGTGTAAACAGGTGGAAAAGCAGCAGGGGCACCTGGATTATATATGCCCAATGAGTTTTTCCCACCTCTAAACAAAGAGTTCCATCCAATGTGTGCAACATTATACTTGGGGCAATAAAGCACTCCTTTAATATAAATTAATGTAAAGCTAGTCTAAGTGGAAACAAAATCATATACAGGTCTTACTCTGAAAAGGCAAACTGTATTAAAGGTGCAATAGGCATGCTGGAGGTTATAGATTTTTTCATGACTTAACTTTCATGGAACTGCATCTCCTATCCCACATTTTAAAATTAGAAATATGAAGAAATTTAAAAGTAAATCCAGGACACTCAGAAAAAACATGCACCAGTGCTATGTTAACCATACTGAGTCTACATGCATATATTTCTGATATATTTTTCTAGTTCAGGTTTTCCAGGGTAATGTTTCTCCAGTGCCAAGAACATACTAATTTAAAAGGCGTTTAAATGTTGACACTAAAGAAACATACTGTGGCAAGATTATTTAAAAAGCCATTTTGGTGCATTTTATTACCCTCAATGCAACCATCTTGGATATTTTCTGTTGTTGTTGGCATGGTGTGGAAGACAGTTCAATGCATGACTGGAGAGATGAATTTTGAAGCTGAGCAACATGAGAAGCAGTACTTATAATCTTGAAAAAACTAGAAACTGTCCATTTGTTCTAGCCATTGTTTAACCTTAGAGAAAAGATGTCAAAAGCATTGCAAGAGACTGTAAGATTAATTCTGAAGTCTGGGGTGGGGTGGGGTGGGGTGGGGTGGGGTGGGGTTAGAATCAATTTCTGTGGTGCAAAGAATCATGGGGAAAATGCAGATATTTCATGCTCAACTATGCCATGACGTAGAGAAGTAATGGATGGAAGCAGAGATTACACCCTTCTGCAAATTCTTTGCTTATTAAACAGCCAGACTTGCCAACTTTTCAAAGACTGCAGAGAATATTTCAAGTTATAATGCTAAGCATATTTCCCAGGGAGAAAGCCCCACTGAAGAAATGGAATTCAGGATCCTTTCCAACATGCATCAGATCCTTTTCAGCCTCGACAGCTCCTTCCCTCTAATCCTTGTCTCATGATTTATTTATGTAGTTATAACATTTTATACCACTCCACATCCAAGCAAATTTCAGAGCAGTGAACACTACAGAGTTAAAACAAGTAAAAGAATACAAACAATACCTCACAAAATTTGAAACAAGGTAACATCAATCCTGCAGCTGGTCAATAAGAAAGCTTTCCTGGAACAAGGATGTCTTCAGCAGGCATCAAAAACAGCACAGACTTGGTGCCTGCCCAACTTCCCAAGGCAGGAAATTCCTGAGAAATGGCGCTACCTCACAGAAGGCTCTCTTCTTGGTGAAATCAGTCAGGCCATGGATCCATATGAAATCACCAAGAGAGTCCTCTGATGACTTCAGCAACTGGACAGGTTGGAAATGGAGAAGGTAAGCCAAGAAAGATGGCTCACAAACCTTATATAAAATATGGTATTCAGGTAATATAAATGTAGAACAGAATATTCTGATAATTTTAATTTGAAGTATGATATTCAGATCATATGCACAAATGTATATCATGGTTCTTTAAGATTAAATAGTAGAATATGTCTGAATTATCCATCTATCTAGATACACTTGGCCCCAGGAGTGGTATGGGAGTGTATAATGGAAAAAAGCTGGAAGACCATTGTGATCATGAGAAGACAGCTGTACATGACCCTTCAGTCCTCCTGTTTGGTCCTTTTCTTTATGGTCATTCTTGTGCTACATTTCTCCTGTGGGGCCTGAGTTTGCTGTTCTGTGCTCTTTTCTGCTTGTCTGGTATCCAGTACCAATGATGTTTACAACTCGATGAGAAGCTTGTTAATTAATCTTGTTTTTGGATAGGCTTGAGTTTAATCTATGAGGCCTGGGAAGGTCACTCAGTTATCTGTTGGCCATACGTTATTTGCTTAGTTAGCTGTTACACTGGTTGAGTTTGAACTAGATATGGCCTGGGGACCAGGTGGCTCTCGGCAGAACAATGGCTAACTTGAATGTGTTGTTCCCCATCAGATGGGCTTGGCTAAGACTGTCTGTTATGAGTATATCCAAGATACATGTGCAGTTCTCCTTTCAAATTATTTCCCCATTAGTTATACCAAAACATTAATTTTGTCTAGGTTAAAGAATCCAGATATGATTATGCTGAACACTAAAAATCCTATACAAGGTTAGGCAATCTTTCCAAGAGCAGGACCTCAATACAGTCCTAGCTGAAGAAGGTGCTGTATGCTGGCCATGAGCTCGATCCACTGTCATTTCTTTGAGGAGTTCCCAATAGCAAAAAGCAAATAACCTAACTTCCCTTTGTCATCTCTTTTCTATAGTCTACTAATAAGCTCTTTAATCTTTACCTACAAGTGTACTAACTGTCTCTAGATCCTAAAGAGAACCACTGCCACTGAGGAACACAGTACCAGAATGGCGGCACATTTCATTTCCACCATTTTAAATTAAGATGCAGGGGCAACAGACAGATGACTTCTTATCTGGGTTCTGCTGTATCCTCCACTATAAACCCCCCTACAGAAAGTACTATGGCCTATAGCTATTTTTTAAAATTATGTGAGTCTGATGCCATCTTTGATGACACTACCATTTTTTAGAAATCAGATTCACAGTAGAGTCACACTACTGTTTTTTATCCTCAGTTTTGCCATTTATAACATAAGATCAAATTCCAAGTTACTGTATTCATTAAGATTTGCAAGCTACAGTATATAAGTGCCAGGTGTTACTATTGGTAAAAGCTATGTTTTGTGGTAGTTGATTTATTTCTGATTCTGAAGAGTTATGAGGCAAATCTCCTTAATTACTAAACATAAATCATAGGCGTCAGCTAATGTTAATTTTACTATCATGCTTCAACCAGCATGCACTTCAAATGAGGAAAGAAAAACATTTTAGGGGTAAAAAAATAGATTTTGCTATGATTGTACTTATTTTTAGACCTAAATGTAACTACTAGCACAAAAATGTTAGTGGAACTTACTTCTGAGAAGACATACTTGAGATTGAGCTGAGCTGAAGTTCACATGCAGATGGCTAAGTAACTTTGCCTCATCTTTGCACATGAATCATAAGAATACATGAACAATTAGGTAATTCACAATGTACATATTTTAGAACTTCCAACATTTAATCTATTAATTGGTTAGATCAATTGATTAAAGCATTTTGATAGACTTAATTGCTTCCAATTAACCAGAAGCAGATTTAATTTTTAATAGAAAACTAGAGGCCAAGTCAGGCTTTATTGCCTGAATGTGGAGGAAAGTGCAGACTTGGCCATACTTCTTACTTTCAGCATCCTCACACATGCCGACTCCAGCCCAATGCTCCCACACTGAGTGGAAATTGTGTGTTCAGCTGAATACACTTAAGATCCTCCCTGAGTCTGGGAATCCTGTGCTACCAGTTCTTGATCACAGGGCGGATTCTTCATGTGTTCAACTAGACACACTTAGTTACACTCAGTGTGGTAAAGCTGGGGTAGGACTGCTTCACATGTGAATTTTGGATGTCAGGCTAGTGTATACAGCCTGCTTCTCTCTGTATGGAACATGTGGAACATATGTGGCCTTCAAATGTTGTTGAACTCCAGCTCTCATCATCCCTGACTATTGGCACATGCTGAATGGGGCTGACAGAAATTGGAATCCAACAACTGGAAAATCACAGGCTTCCCACACCTGCTACTGTATAGGTTCAGGAAGAAACACTTGGATAGGGTTATGAGTGATGGGAAACTCTGGATTATGCCTGCCATGGCATACATAGACATCAACTAAAAACAAAGAAAGTATGTGTCTGGCTTCAGAATTTTTATTTTACTCATGTTTACATGTAATTAATCAACTTACTAAAGTTGATACAATTAAACAGCTAAGAACAGGGAAAGCCCTGCTAGATCAGACATAAGCATGGCTAGTCTAGCCAACTGGTTGCCTGCAGAAACCTAGAAATCTAGAATTATCTTCCCAGCATGCTGCCCTTGCTACTAGAAATAGGATAGAGCCAGCAAGACTAGTAGCCATTTGTGAGCTTTATTTTTCATGAATTGGCTGAATCTTCCAGATCTACCAAAATGGTGGCCATCGCTCTATCTCATGGAAGTGAATCCCATAGTTACGGTGTACAGTACACATGCAGTGCGTAAAATGATGTTTCCTTTTATCTGTCCCAAATTTCCCATAAGTCTGCATTATAGAATGATCCTGGGTCTAGTATTCTTAGAGAGGGAGAAATGATGTCCCCATCTACCATATGTCCCATGCATGGTTTTGTACATCTCTATCATGTCTACTTTTATCAGCCTTATTTCTAAACCTTTCCACACTGAGGAGTTGTTGCAGCCCCTTCATCGTTTTAGATTTTAGAGGTATAGTTTCTTGAAGGGGAGAAACATAAGTATCTATTCTGAAACTATAATGAGCCTAGAAAAGAAAACTATGCATTTGCAAAACCAATTCCTTAAATTAGTCAGAACAAGACTGCAAACTTTGTTTGATTTTCTAATACTTACCGATACAGTTAGTGCCGTAACAGCCGGAGTGCTAAATGTTGGATCACTCTGTCTTTCTTGATAGGCAACACGGTACTGTGAAATAGCACCATTCGGAGAAGCAGGGCTAGTCCAGTTCAGGAGTACAGAGTAAGCGCTTACTGCTTGGGCCCAAGGAGCTTTCATGCCCTGAGGTGGAGCTTCTTGGGTTTGTGTTGAAGACCACGGACTATCCACAGAACCCTTGGAATTCTGAGCTCTGATGCGGTATTCGTACTCGGTGAAGGGCTGAAGAACATCTGTAGCATCAAAAAATTCTAAAGCACCTTCAGACCAGATGAACACAAGAAGTTCTTCTTGAGTGCCCACAAGGTGCCTGAAAGTCACACAAACATTATATAATCTTAATATAATTTTTATTGTGTGTTTTTTATAATTTACTAATTTTATTGCTTTTATCTGTTTTATTGATTGTATTTAGTATATGCTAGTTTTAGCATTTGTTAGCCTCTCAGAGAAACCTCCATTTATGGGACAGCATAGAAGCAGAATGAAATAAATAAATCATTTGAGAACAGCTGATTTACAAATTGAGAAGAGGTTATTTGATATTGAAGTACAAACTTCAAAATCATTACAATCTAATATTATCAATTGTTTCTCATTAACACTGCACAGAAGGAAAGGTTCTTTGTCGTCTGGTCAACAGGTTATTTTATGAAATACCTTTCTAAATTTCAAAGAAGTAAAAGTTAAAAAAGAGGAAATAATCATTGTAGGCTTCTTTCTGTAACAGCAACAGTGAACTTTCTTAAAAGTTGATCAGAAGCCCTGAACAGCTATGCAATTATCTTTTTTTAAATCATTTAGTACCCTTATCTAGGTGATGGTTTTACAAATGGGAACAAGCCTAAATAATTTGTTGCCAAAATACTTTCACTACCTCAGGTTATGAAATTTTGTTTTCAGTTTTACAACAAATGATTGACTAATAGAGATTTATCCAAGTACTCATATCCCAATAGCAATTTTTCCTTAGTACTGTTACCTTCACAGACATATGAAGCATATTTGCAGTCCATACTTTACAAAATGGAATGTGGAGTGGGGAAGGATCATTTTACTTTGTGGATTACATGTGCAGCCTTGATTCTTCTCTCTATTCTGCTTCCCATATTGAGACTTCAGTTTTGCAGAGAAGTGATACAACGTGACAACTCTGCAAAAATTCATCTACCCTTTCAGCTGATGTTGCTTCATGTGCTTGTCTCTATTACTGTAAATTTATTCTCTTGGGTTGCCTAGAAATTTCTAGACAATGTGAAGTGCTGGGGAGAAAACAATTTTACCCGTTTTGTATAATTGTTTGTTTTCCCAGAGAAATCCTAGAAATTTGTGATAGAATTGTGTATGGAAGAACTGAAATATATAAATACTTCCTTTCTTTTCAAGCTGAGACTTATTTTATTGCTTTCGCAACACGAAGTGCATAATTAATAACTCACCATATGCAGTATATAGTATTTGGCATATTTATGTGATATTAATCCATTATTTTGCATGGATAACAACTATAAATATATCATATACAATCATCTGAAAGGGTCATGTATAAAGTATACATTGAAAGAGATCCAAAATCAATGAGATGTTGTATAGCATAGTAGCTAACAGAGAGTTTACACTATAAATTGGAAAGTTTAGTTTGAATCTTACTTTTACCATTTACTCACTCAAGGGCTTTTGGAAGTCCTTCCACCCCTCCAATCTCAAATTCAGTCCCACATCTGTACTAGGGGAATAATAAGACTGACTTGTGAGGTTGTTGAAGGGTTTAATAAGGTAATTACATGAAGCACTTATTCAAAAGTGCACTATAAATGCTAGATATTACTATGACAAATGCAAGATAGACATTTCCAACCAAGAACTGTTTTGCTGATGAAGAAGATAGCCTTCAGAAAAAAATACAGTTGCTCTTGAGGAACTGGCAAATCACTTCCAGAAAGAGTTACAAAATCAATCAATGGCAATAAAATCAAGTCTTGTATATGAGGAAAAATGATTAGTGAAAGGTTTATGAAGTTGAGAAATGGAGGCAGGTACGTTCCTTTCTTTTAACTGAGATTCAAGTGCTCTGAGTAAGTTAAAGCATATTTGCCCTTGTGCCAACTACCCAATGAATAAATTACATTATCTGCCATGTACAATTACAAATATATTACATTTCCTACACTGGAATCAGGTTGCATACTGGGCAATTGTCATGACGACTCCATATGAACAATGGAATTTTTCTTTGGCAAGCCCACACTTTTACATTTGTAGAACATAGTCCATTTATATATTAATAAACACATGTAGGTACTATTTTAAAAACCACAGCAGTCATTTAAAAATATCCTGTCAATATAAGTTGCTGGTTTTTTATTCTTTTTCAGTGCATAATTAGTTCATATACACAGTGAAGCTTGTAGTCCAGAGTGCCATGCAGCACTCGGAAGTCTGTTGACTCTTAACCTAGAGACAATCAGCAGAGCTGGTTGGGTTTCAGGGGCAGAGGCTGTAGAGAAGGGAGGATTGCTTCTCTAGTCTTCTTGGGCATAAAAAGGAGCCCCAGAAATGGAGTTGGCCAGCGCCATACCTAGCTGTATGGTATTTTACATTGCTATGCACTTGATCTAGTTCCTGACTGATGGGGCTCATTGCAGTGTGGGTTTTGCTTTCTGGATAGCAATGTATGATTATAATGCTAGAATAATAATCACAATCATAATCATAATCATAATAATTTTGATCAGAAGTATTGGAGGCACTGTGGCAAATCCTGTTTGAAGAGGCAGGATTTGTGACAGCCCATTTCCCAGAAGGTTACTCCTATAGAGGACTACAAATTTCTACACGATAGCTGCTACACACCAAGTGCTGCCACAGGCCCTTCCTGTCACTCTCCAACATGCAGGCTGGAGCAGAGACTCAACCAGGGCTTCTCAATTTTTGGAATTAACCCATACCCCACACAAATGCTGTATCAGCTGTAGCCAATAAGGGGTTCTGATCAAGTTCACACAACACTGACTACCTCTGGTTTCTGTCCTTGCTTAACTGTAGGCATAAATGCCCTGCTAATGAGTTATGAAAATTTGTCAAAGCAAAAAACAAAACAAAGTAAAAATCCCTACAACAACAACAACAACAAAATTTTAAGCACAGCAGAGCTCTTTTCACAGCTTAGTTGCTTAGTTTGCACAGCACAGCATCTCAATTTGCTATAGCAGTTCTTTGTTGGATTCACAAATTAGCGCTTAGTAACACAGAAATCTGTGATAAACAGCGTTTAGTAACATAGAAAATATATGATAAGCAGCTTCTCTGAATGAATAGATCAAATATGTCACCAACCACAAGCAGTTCTACTAGCAAACGGAATACTGTAGTCTAGTTAAAATGTTTAGATCGTGTTACCACTGAATATTTAATGAAAGAAACTTATGGCTGGGTAAATGGTTCCATCTGTAGTGCTAAAGAGAGAAAATATTATGTAAGAATAAACTTTGAGCAGTCTCTAATCATTTCAATACCCTGAAGATGTTGAATTCAACTGCTCATTTAAGTGGAAGCTTTTCTCCACATGGTGAACAGCATAAAGAAAGATGTCATTTTTAGGAACTGTTAACTGCTACTGAATCTGCATATTATGGTTTGCTGCCTTCATTCATGTTGAGATGTTCTGATAGGTAGTTTTGTCAAGGCAAGATATATAGCCAGTAACACAGCTGGAATATTTTACATATTTATTCTGATAACAGGAGAGCTGGAAACAGAAGATACAATTCTGTGGGTTGTGGGGTGGAGTGTGGTGTAACTAATTCTGTGGTTTGCTGTCTGGTTGTGGGTAGGCAAATGTTTCCTTAATTCTCAAACTAGAGTCTTTTCACATTGTGATGAATGATTCTGCCAGGACTATTTCTGTCTATAGACTTCCTCCATTTTCCAAGTCCATTCTGTGCTGGCTCCATATAGGCTTTTAAAAAAACCCAGAGATCATTTAACATGGATTTTGTGGGGCGATGGATGCACAATCTGGTGTACTTTTTCAAACTGGATGTATCCATCCATTGTTTATACACATTTTGAAATGTGCTCATTTTTCTTTTCAGTTTTGAAATATGTGCATGTAAGAGAATGTATTTTTGTATTCTATGGAATACATTGCTGGTCTGAAAATGTATAGATTTCTGAATCTGGTCCATGCTCATTTCTAAGTGATACAGAAAGCAGATCCCAACAATTATGCATGTACCGAATGAGCTGGGTGCTGGAAACAGGTGCTACCCTTGATGCATTCAGTGAAACTTCCAAATAGTACAGTGAAAGGTTCAAACTGTACGGCTTTACAATGTAGAAACTAGAACATGTTCAGAGTTCCAGTCAAGAAAGGAGCCTCCTCATCTACGGCTTACATGTGGATAAGGTATATGCTATATCAACTCACACCTTCAGACAAAAGCTGGGAGTTAAAATAGCTAATATTGTGCTTAATCCACACCACAACCCCATGTGGAAAAGGTCCAGATAAGCTCTGGATATTGGCTTTAATAATAATCAGATACAATCAATAATAATAATTCTGTCTGCATTCCTGTCCATATTTCTGCCCATTTTCTGAAAGCTTATTGTGACCCAGAGAACTTTATACATTCCATTCCCACCTCCTATCCATTCAGCATCTGACTCAGTTCTACAAGGTGTTTGAAACAGATTTCTACAACATGTTAAAAATGTTACAGATAGGATAAAGAAAAGCCCATTGGATAAATGCATTCAAAAAAGGCAACAAGCTTTTATTTTCTCAGACTTTTAATTGTTAAACTGTGCCACTCTTACTACTGCCAGTTTTCTAACTGCTGTTTGTTTGCTTTTTATTACTTGTTATTGTTCTGTTTTATTGTATCAGCCACCCTGAGTATAATACACACAACACATACAGTTATCGAGCATAAGTATACTAAAGAATGGTGTACAGGTGATGAATGAATGAATATTGCCACCACAATTTTGTTTTAATAAAGAATTTGTTAGCTTTAGCTAACAAAGGTTTGGAATTGGGGGTGGGAAGCTGCAAGTCAGGAAGGTTAGCAGAGAACTCTAACCTCTTGCAAATATACATCCTTCAGTTTTAATGAAAAGCTGCCTACCCACTTGTGGGTTAAATAAATTTAGTTTGGTATATAAACGACAGCAAGGCAGTGGCAGCAAATGATGAAAAAGAAATTACATACCATAACATCCTCTAGAAATACTGCAGGCTTCTTGCTATAACAGTCTAAGGCTAGGCGTGGGCATCGCATGAAAAAAGAACTGCATGCTTACATCCCATTTCTGTCCTTACATATTTCTGATTTTTTTCACAGCTATCTGAGAAAGATGTGATATTGTTGTTGTCTAAGCACATTTAAACTTCAGCTGAAATAACTGCCAAGTGATTCATGCCTATGTAGGTGAATATAACGATTGTATCTGGAGCCCCAGCACGCCATTTTCATTTCACTTTAAATAAAAAACAAAATGTATCTATGTCAGTCAGTGCCCTTCTGCTGTACTCAGAGGTATCAAACAGGCTACAATTATGATTGTGAAGTGATTGTGTCACATTGGAGGAAGGTTTATTGCTTTCGAGTCTGCTAGGCAGTAACACATTCTGTTTCATATTACTCTTTATATCATTGTTTGGCTGTGACTAGAATAATCAAATGCCATCAAATGCTGTCAAATTCAATTTACAGTATTTTCCACTTTCTGCATTATATTTCCTGTTTTCCCTTTCTCTGGCTGCTCTGGAATTGCAGCTGTAATCATCAGCTTTATTTACAAAACCAGCAGAGTAAAGCCATATCTTGAACTATAAGAGGTACTTTATTTCCCTTTATACAGAGGAGGGGCTTGATGTATTTGGTCATACAATTAGCACACAAAAGCAGAGAATATGCCAACAGAACAGGCATTTGAGACTACTAGAAGCCTTCAGCCAAAAGCCTGCTTGGTTAGTTCCACTAAATATATGATTATAGGTATGTCCCTATCACCTCCTGCTTCTTGGCCTTTTATCTCTTTGGCTACAGCCTTGAGACTGTTAGAACCTAAGTGCTACAATGTTGCACTATCAGTAGAAGTTACAACAGGCCAAACTGCCTGCTCAGGAGGAGTCTCTAGACTTCTGCTATCTGGTGCCCTCCTGATGACTTGGACTACAGTTCCAAGAATCCTGCAGCTAGCTATGCAACTCCTGGCAACTGCTTGAATCTACTTCCCCCTGCCTGTCTACATTATTTGTTGTTGTTAGTCGCAAAGTCATGTCCGACCCATCGTGACCCCATGGACAACATTCCTCCAGGTCTTCCTGTCCTTCACCATCCCCTGGAGTCCACTTAAGCTCACACCAACTGCTTCAGTGACTCCATTTAGCCACCTCATTCTCTGCCGTCCCCTTCTTCTTTTGCCATCTATTGTTCCCAGCATTAGGCTGTTCTCCAGGGAGTCCTTCCTTCTCATTAGGTGGCCAAAGTATTTGAGTTTCATCTTCAGTATCTGGCCTTCTAAAGAGCAGTCAGGGTTGATCTCCTCTAGGACTGACCGGTTTGATCGCCTTGCAGTCCAG